TAAAATAGTTTAAAATAGTTTAAAAGTCATGGTTCTTAGGTTTATTCAACGATGATTATAAAATGAATGTGTGTTCATATGAAACATTGTAGAAATGAGATGCTTCACTCTGTCTCATGATTCAGTCGTGGAGCGTCCTGTCTTATGACCTGATCAACTGTCCTGTCAGAACAATACTCTGTTTGTAACCATGTGTTATGTTCTGTTAATAAAGCGCTCTGCAGAGGAGGTCCGGTGGGAGACAGAGTGTTTGAGCGTTGGGTGCAACTGTCTCTCCTCCTGCAGGAAGCTGTTTGAAAATCCCTTACTGTGTATTTCAGTTCTTCCTTAACAAACCTACATTTTTGAACCCAACACATCAGTTCAAAAAAAGAAGGAAATTATTTAAAACTATCAGCTGTGTTCTATATGCTGAGAGTTTAATCGTCACATTTATACGTCTGATTTTTTTTTTCCCCCTCAGCAGAATGGGGCTGATTGGCCCGTTTTTTTCTTCTTTGTTTTGCAGGTAATGAGCCATCCCCGCTGGGCTCAGTGGAGAGCTACAACCCTGTGAAGCGGCGTTGGGAGTACGTAGCGCCCATGCCCACTGCGCGATGCTCTTCTGCTCTGCTGCAGACGGCCAGCATCCTCTTCGTGATCGGGGGAGTCGCCCAGGGACCCAGTAACGCTGTGGAGGCCCTCTGCTTACAGGAGACAGTGTGACGCTGGCCTTAATGCAAACTGGCACCTGTTGTTTCCTTATGATGAGCAGAAACTGTAAAACAGGAGTGAGATCATATTCAGATACTCTCCTTTTGTGACGCTCCACAATCGAATCCACTCTCCTACTGGGATGTCAAAGACTTCTTCAATACGTGTCCTCAGAGGAAGGTTTTTTTAGAGCTGGACTCTGATGCAGATTACTGTGATTGGCTACAATAAAAAAAACTGCTAGCATTTCTACTCCATCAGAGGGAAGGAAACAACAACCCGACACAATCCTGGTTTCTGGAGAAACAACACGGCTTGAACTGTTGAGTATTTTTCAGAATAAAAGCAGGGTATTTTTCTGGATACTAAAGGAACATAGGGCCATATTTAAAACTCTCGGCAGCGGCAGCGGTGCTGCCTTCTGCTGCGGCAGCAACAGCTGGCGACGACTCTTTTCTACATCCTCAGAAGCAGGTTTAGGTTTGGATGGTGGCATTCAGAGAGCGTCTGATGTTGCTGCTTTGTTCTGTAGGTCTGTTGTCATTTTAGGTGTGAACCTTAGCGCTGCTAACAACCGCTACATCAGCAGTGCTGGTCCCTGACATGCCTTCACACCACAAGCAAGTCAAGGACCTGCCGTCAGGAAAGCCTCCTCTCTCCCCAACAGGAGCCCCTCTTTAGTTCAACCTCAATCAAGAAGGTGATTGTGGGTAAACTTGTCATTTGCTTTGCCTCACATTTCAGCATTTCTAAACCACACTGTTCAATCCCCCCAACGCACACACCACAGTACACAACAGTAGAGTGAATGTAGAAGTACTTGCTGCACTGAAGCATCATGGTAAATTAGCTTCCTATCACATGGAGATCTTCTCCTCTGGAATTACCAGAGTTTGCTTTACTAGAAACATCAGCATGATGTCAGCCAGACGCTGGATGTCCGGCTGACCGCAGCAGTAGATGTACTTAGAAAACCCAGAGGCTCAATCTGTAAAGGCCAGAGCATGCACAGATCCGATTTTACGTCCGATCTGACAGAAAACCGTGTCGGTGGAGGCCGTGGCGTTTGACGCTAATTGAAATTCAATGGGGATGATCACACCCGACACGATTTTAAGCAATGTTGCTGCGTAGCTCCGACTGCGATAGAACCCTAGGCTATATAGACTGACTGTGCAGCAAATCAGCAACAATTTCATGGGTCTCACAGGAAGAGAGACGCAGTAACAAAGTAAAACACGTCTGCTTTGGAGGAAAATGCTGAATAAAATCTGTTAATCGCAAAGGGAAAGAGTCAGTTTGGAGTCGCATGTAACGTATATAATAAGAGGGACAGTCTGGTGCAAAAGAAATGAATGAAACATTAAAATAGAAACACTGGAAAAATCCAAATCTAGATGAGTCATTTTTTCTTAAAATAAGTGCATTTGTTCTTGGATTGAGGAGGTAAAAGAGACATTTTGCCAATGGAACAATTTAATTAATTAAAGGGACACTATGCAACATTTTTCAGTTAATTAATGTGTTCCATAACGTTATGGATGA